TTTATTATCCCTTAAACTGTCTAAATAAGTAGACAAATTTGCTTGCTTAAATTTTATAAATTCATATCTGATTTATTTTTCTTAAAAATAAAAAGTGTTATATAATTTACCACATCTGCGTTGTAATGCATCCACCTGATCACCAATCAGATTGTAAGATCAGGTGTAACATGAAATCAAAAAAAATAGCGATGTTTTGAAAAAATCATTTGTAGCTCATAAGTTAGCTTATGAAACAACCCTTAGCATTCTAACAAAAAAAATTTCTTGCAAAATTTTGTGTATAACTGATATATACTTACAATCCAACTTAACCCTACATTTGTACGAACTCTTACTCTAAATTAATATATTATTTGTTTGTTTTGATTTTACATTACACTGAATATTATAGGTGCATTACAACACAAGTGCGATAAATGATAAAATTTAAATAAAAATATTATATAAATTTTTTTTAAATAAAACTATAATTATATACTATTTAAAAATTATTTTTATTTGTTTAGCTTTATAAAAAATTTGAAATTGTATATAAAAGAAAATTTATAATTTTTTAAAAAAAATTTAATTTTAAATTTTTTTTTTTGTTTTGCTTAATAAAATTTAAATTTTGACCTCTATTACCTAATTCAAAGCTGTAAAAAATTTAAAATTAAATTATTTCTATTATTATTATTTTTATAATTAATTAAGCAAAATCCTAAATTTATTTAGTAACTAAAAAATTTCTCTTTGGAAACATATAAACTTTTAAAAAACTTTTTATAATTTTAATAAAAAAATAAAAAAATAAGTTTTATTAAAAGTATATATCTTTATTAAAATTAAAAATAAAATGATAAAATTTAAATATATTATTTATAAAGAAATATTTTTAATTTTATTCAATAAATAGAGGAGTCAAGCTCAAATAAATTTTGAGAAAACTTAAAAAAACTTTTTAAAAATAATTTAAGCAGGCAAATTTGTTTGCTAGACAGTTTAAGGAATAATAATTAACTAATCAAATATATAATTTTGAAAAAATTTATTGTTATAAATAAAAAAAACTTTACTAAAAGTTGAATTTAATAAAAAGATCAAATATAGTATAGGTTACCTCCTTGTAAAAAACTATTAAACTTACTAATTTTATATAGTTATTTTATTGTATTTATATTATAATTAATATTTTAATCAATATTAAAAAGCAAATTTAAAAGATTATATTACAATATATAGTAATTAATTTAAAAATTTTTAAAGATTTTATTAAGGGGTAAGCTATACTATATTTGATCCTTAATAAAATATAGTATATATATGCTGTAAAAAATAGGTAAATATAGACAAAGTATAATAAATATGACATTTATTATTTTTTTTTTAATGTTCAGATAGGGTTTTGCCAATGATTTTATTTATTAATATTACTCATTATATATATTACAACATTATATATTACTATATATCAAGTATACTAAGCTTAAACTTAAATACTATTGATAATCTACATTATAGATAAAACTAGCATTTGCAGTTAGGTGTTTCTTAAATTGCTACTAGTCACCTATTTATTATATGTAACCCAAGCTTATCAAGTGATAAGTTCTTATAGATATTATTTATTTAGTATTTTTTTACTCTTCACCTGTTTTATTCCAGATTATATTTTCTGCTTTTTTTATACTACTTAAATCTAAGCTTTCAAATTTAATAAATTTTTATAAATAACCTTGTAATAATTTTTAACAGGTTACTTCTAATCTTAGTAAACCAAAACTAATCCTGTTATATAATTAACACTAATGCTGTTAATATCTAGTTTAGTTAGTATATTGCTAATTTTTGTTGATTAAATATTTCTGTGTATTGATAAAGAGCTTGCCATTTTTCATTACACCTATAACTTTCAGTTAATGGGTTTTATAAAAGGTTTCTTCTAATTTCTCTAAAACTTCAAATAAACTTGGTGTTCTTACTTGGCTTACTCTTTTTAGATAGCAGTGCACTAGAAGTATGAACCTTGTTTGGGCTTATACTATAAATTGCTTTCAATTTCAATATTTTGTATTCCTTTTAATTTTTGGTATACAAGTTCTTTTTTATACAATAGTACTTCCAGCCCAGTGCTTTTAGCTCTTTCAAGTTATTATACATACTCCAAGTTTTAGCCTGCCTTTATATCACAGTACTTTCTTTAATAGACAAGATAGTTAATACCAGAAGTGTTCTAATTTCAGTTAGACCAATCCTTTACCACAGATCATCTTCACTACTTTTTTATACATTTTTTATATAAGCCATATGTTGTACTTAAGAGCTACACAAAAGATTTTCATTCATCAACATGGCTTAGTCTTTTCAAAGTATTAGAGGATTTGATATTACTATGTTTTGACTTTCTCCGAAGTTTTGCAAGGTTTCGTCAGTTTCATCAGGTTTTGCCAGTTTCACCATATTTCGCCAGTTTCACCGGGGAGTTTCGTTTTTCGTCTTTCGCCGGTTTTAGATTTCGTCTTTTGCCATTTCCAAAATGGGTTCACCTAACAACATTAGGCATCACTGACTTATTATCACTATTAGTGTTCATAGATATGCATTTTATTAGCATTGGGTTATACTGATTCAGTAATTATGTTGTTAATCGTACGTATGCACATTATCCAACCAATCAAATCAAGAATAAATAACTTATCAGCGTCAAATCTATGCCGATCGAAAATTCAGTTTATTTTAGTATGGTTTTAAATAGTTATTCTTTTATTTTTATCATTTCATTTTCTTATTGTCTGGTTTATTTTTTGTTTTTCTCTTTCAGTTCGAACATCGTAGTTATGCAGCTGTCGACCAATTTCGTCACGATTTTGATTGAAAAGCGCAAAATTATGGTCCATATTACATACATAATTGTTACATAATTTTTGGCCGGAATGAATTTTTTAACATAATCATTCCAAAAGCAAGATCCAACACCGCCAATTTTAATTGTTAGGGATAGATTAGAAGGAGTTAGAAAGTGGATTTAGGTATAACATAAACCAAAATAATGAGTAAAATTTTTTCTTAGAGCACCAAGAGCAGTTTTTTATGGGCAAAATTTGAAATATAAATTTTTTTTTCTTAATTTTGTCAATCAACCTGTCACACAGTTCGTATATGCATTTCAAAAATAGAAATTTCTAGAGAAATAGGCCTACACAATGGTAAAATTAACCGAGAAACATTTTTTACTTAATGGGCGACTGTGATTTCATAAGTAACTTCGGACTAAATTTTTTGATCGTCGCTCTTAGCCAATCAAAATCAAGAATCGACCGTGAAAAATTTGGTACAGACCCTAGTCCAATGTTATAATATTGCAGATGCAGTAACGCTATATCATAACTATTATGATTATGATTACGTAAATCAAACTAATTCAATCAAACATATCGGCAATTATTCTATTGTTCCAGCATTATGAAAACGGTCATAATAGTATTACAATATAAAAAAGAAAATGTAGAACAAATTTTGAAAAAAGACGAGTAAAGAAGGCCAAGAGAAATTTTAAAAAATTGTCAAAGGTCTAAGACAATTACCTTTAAATATTTTGCAATTTATTCAAAATTAATCTTATGTCTTGGTTATATTTTATTAAAAATAAGTAAACATATATAAAAAATTATAATTCAGAAAATCCTTATCGTTATATTACACTAATTGATAATGGCATACTATTACGTTGTCTGTTATATCTACATATTATGTAACTGAATCTAGGCGGCGAAACTGGGATCCCTAATTCCCCACCACTTCTGAATGGTCGTGTGTAAATGACATCTTTGATTGGACAATCGGACTACACCACACTTTGATTGCAAATTAAATTACAAGATATAAAATTAGAATCGAAGGTTTTTGAAATTCTCAATAACTCAAAGTTTTATTTATGAAACCGCCTTCCATGTCCTAACAAAAAAATTCCTTACAAATTTTAGTATAACATATGTTTTGTTAAAAACCTTTAACAATATGTTTTATTGGTTTAACGTGTGTACTGTTATTGAAAGTTTCAAAATCTGATGAAATATATTTCATCCAATCAAAAGAGGATTTTAAATGTAAACTCGGCGAAACTGCCCACATGTGCAATTTATAATTAAAATGTATAATAAAGTTGCCCAGGAAATTGATTTACATTAGCCAATCATACAAATTTCCTTTATTAGACCTCACCTTAGGTCCCAGGTCTTTTGTGGTACTGATGCAACCTGGGCGCTGCAAGTACTGACATGTGCATGGGAACTATGTTTCAATTGTACGTACGTACGTACGTACGTACAAACTTTAGATGCAGCCGTAGTAAAAAAAGCTATATCGATCACACAACTATTACACTTTTGTGGTTAATGTAATGAAGCTCAATCATCACTTAACCATTATTGCATATCAATCGATATTTTATTGCACAGTTCCTATTATTGCAATATTCACGAGAAGGCAAAAAATTACCAATTAGATACAAAGTTTCAAACTTAATTTGATAAAATTTTGGTCAAATTTGTTTGGCAACATTAATATATTTTAATTTAAATTTTTTTTTTAAAAAAAAAGATTCCCTTTCTTTTGACACTCCTCATCTCTTAATTTCATTTGTTTCAATTTAACGTGAAATTTCCATTTTAAATCGAATTTTTATTTAAATTTATTTAAATTAGTTTGATTCTTATTACATAAACAGCTGTAAATTCATGACAAACATTACGTACTCACATATGCGTGTGCGTAGATGTTCCTCTGAAATATTTGCAAGGTACATAATGCATACGTTGCAAATATCTATAAAAATTTTCACCGAATTCAAACTTATTCAATTATTAATAATGATTTTACATTACACAAAATTTCGAAGTTTGTAAACAAGTTTATAAATTTTTATTTATCAATAAATTGAAATTGCTATTACTTTACTTACAAGTAGATTTTAATAAATGAATGATGCCGAAGGAAAATGGGATTTCAATCATATAAATATGATTAAAGTCCCCATTTTCCCTTGGTAACACACAAAGAATAGACTAATATGTACGCAATTTATTTAAATGATTTCCATAAAACAAACTAAATATTGCGCAAATTAAGCTGCATACGTCTTGCCTTTATAAATACTAGATTGTATGTGGATCCAAACAAATGATCGAATTTATTTGGCAATATTCTTTATTATTATATTGCTACAGTATTATCATTCGATTACATTTCCCTTATTATTGTTATTATTATTATTACTCTTATAGTTCAATTATGATTTTTTTTATTATTATTTAATCTAATGCTAATTTCAATTCAAATGATGTTCTTTATGTTTAAGGAATAACCCGAGTTCAATTTATCCACAAAGACAAATAGAAAATTGGAAATTTAACGTAAAACATTTAAAGAAATTGATTACCCTTAAATAGTTTAAATTAGAATTCAATAATCTTGTTACAGATTTTAAAATATTGCTTTCTTTTATAAAGGTTTCTGAATGAGTTTATATATCAAGGTTCCTTAATTAATCTTTAGTTTATTATGTGGTCAAATCTTAGTTGTTCTTTAATTTTTTTATATTAAAATACTTGTATATATGCAATGTTATAAATTATATGCTATGTTGTTTGTACGATTCTGCATTCATTTGAATATCATTAATATTTTGAAACTCTAATTTTTAATATTTAACATCTGACACATATTGTAATACAATAATAGTATTTTAACTTTAACTATAAAAATTTAACAATATTTCCTAACTAATCTCTGGATTAGAAGATATTTACGGAAGATCTTAAATAATTTATCCATGGTTTTGACATCGCAGTTGTTGTTTGTTGTTTTGTGCTACTGTTTATTATTTACTATGTCGGTCAAAATTATCAAAAAATTTATTAGATCTTTATCAAATTTATCAATTTTCTTTAAAACTTAAAGTAAAATAATAAGTTTATTCATTAATTTAAATAAGTTACAACTACAGAACTGATTTGATATACCACGTTTTCATCCATGTGTATAAACGCTAAACTAATTAGTATGCTTATGATAATATGATAATATCAATTTTCGTTATAAAAAGAGTCAAATATTCTATTCTGAACGGTAATAGATCCTAATATTACATTCCCTCACATTGGGATTTTAACCCATCCAAGATGATTTTACCTCGTTACATTCCCTTTTTATTCGCTCTCATTATCCTCTTATTTTTATCCTTCACTACCGGTCAACAAAATGACAATTCAGAACTTAATCTCGAAAAACGGGGCTTAAAACATCATACACATAATACACACCATATACATCATACACATCATAAAAATAATAAACATCATCTCGAAAAACAGGGCTTAAAACATCACAAACGTCACAAACGTAACAAACGTCATCATAAGCGTGGTAAATACCACCATGAACCTCCTTCATCCGAACAAACCCACGAACCTCACCACGAATTTACTCATTTCTACAAACACCATCCTCATGAACATCCTATACATGAACATCCTAAACACAAGTATCCTGAAAACAAACATCATAAAACTTGCACCTCCCACGAACCAACTAAAACCACCAGTGCTAAAGGCCAAGAAAAGACCAACAACGCTATAACCTCATCTAAACCTTATACAAAAGCCACCAATGCTGTAAGCCAAGTTAAATCTTACGCAGAGACTACCAATACTAAAGGCCCAGCTAAATCTTATACAATAACTACCAGCGCTAATGGCCAAGCAAAGACCACCAATGCTAAGGTCTCAGCTGAATCTTATGTAAAGACCACTGGTACGAAAGGTCCAGTTAAATCTTATGCAAAGACCACTGGTACGATAGGTCCAGTTAAATCTTATACCACCAATCCTAAGGTCTCAGCTGAATCTTACGTAAAGACCACTGGTACGAAAGGTCCAGTTAAATCTTATGCAAAGACCACTGGTACGAAAGGTCCAGTTAAATCTTATGCAAAGACCACTGGTACGAAAGGTCCAGTTAAATCTTATACCACCAATGCTAAAGTCTCAGCTGAATCTTACGTAAAGACTACGAAAGGTCCAGTTAAATCTTATACAATAACCACCAGCGCTAAAGGTCAAGAAAAGACCACCAATTCTAAGGTCACAGCTAAATCTTATGTAAAGACTACCGGTACTAAAGGTCCTGTTAAATCTTATATAATAACCACCAGCGCTAAAGGCCAATCAAAGACCACCGATGCTAGGGTCTCAACTAAAGCTTATGTAAAGACTACCAGTTCTAAGGTCTCTGTAAAGACTACTAACGCTAAGGTTTCAGCTAAATCTTATGCAAAGATCACCACTGCTAAAGGCCAAAATAAACCTTATACAAAGGCAACTAATGGACCGGAAAAACCAAAAACCACTAGTGCTATAAACAAAACCAAACCTTATACAAAAACTAGTGGTGAAGGTTTAGAAGATCAATTCGCACATCGTGCAAAGACCACTAGTGCTAA